CTCAAGATACCTTTTCCCACTTAGCTCTACATTCCAATCCACTGTTGTAGCCTCCACGGGGTAGTATGCCGCACCGAACTGCTAGGAGGTAGATCGATGTATCCACAGAACGAGCATTATTGCTGGTTGTGAAACTGAGTTGATTGAACACGATTGGGTGCCTGATGCAACTCGGCGTAATTTTGGGTATTGCGGAACCTGTGATGAGCTGAGATACGAAATCCTATTTTCTCTCACTCTCATTCAACCACTTGTACACGACCCTCGCGTCCTTCCCTTGATACCTCTCATCCCGCATAGCCTCGCCAAAAGCCTCCAACGTAGGCTTATCGAGTATAGTGCGCGCGCCTACCATCTCCGCAAGCTGACTCCCCATACCCAAAACCTTTGCACAAAGCTCGATGCGGAACCCGCCTTCGTACCCCCGCGAACTCGGCACATTGGCTTGGATACCCGGTACTGGATTGCTCTTACTCGTGACCCAACACTGGCCCCCGGAGACATTGATTACATCCGTAAGCAGTGCAACGTCTAGCCCCATCTTCGAGCCGATGTTCAGGGCTTCAGACGCAGCAAGCGATGTAATGGCACTGAGGTAGTTGTTGATGACCTTGAACGCTGTACCTGCGCCGATGTCGCCGCAGAGAAATATCGCATCTGGTTTGCCCATGTGGCTCAGATAGCTCTTCACGGTAGGGAAGATGTCCTTGTTGTTCGCGCCTGCCATGAACGCCAACGTACCGTCCTGCGCGCCCATGGGTCCACCCGATACCGGCGCATCAACGAAAGTCAGCATATTACTCGCACTGGAGTTCTCCACTGCTTTCGCAACCTCCAAGATTGTAGATGTTTCGATGGTACCGCATTCCATGATCAGCTTTCCTTCTCCACCTTTTGGCAGTTTCTCCGCACCGGCCAGAACTCCTGTTTCTTTATCAAGATACACCTTCTTTACGGCATTCGAATCTGGAAGCATTGTTATGACGGTGTCGGCTCTTTGGACAGCATCGTAGCCGTTCTTTACTACTTCCACTGGACCCTGACCTGAGGCGTCTGATTGGAACTTTTCGAGCGCGGAGGTGGAAACGTCGCAGATCAGGAGAGTATGGGAAGAGTCGAGGCCTTTTCGAAGATTGAGGGCCATGGGATAGCCCATTACGCCAAGACCTGCGAACTGTAAGTATGAGGAGTGATAGGGTTAGCTAGGTAGGAAGGAACGCACCGATGAAGGCCACAGTCTTGCTTGGTGACGCCATCGTGTTGAGAACGTGATCGTGCCAGTACCTTCTTGTCGATTATTGTTTCCTTCTCTTCGGATCTATGGGAGTACTTTCGCAATCGTAGTCTCAGCTTGCTATTGTGAGGCGTCAATTGGCAGGAGCCATGCTCAGTAGCGCGATGTTTCCTACGGGATTGCAGTCGCGACGGACTTACTAACACTTTTCCCCGCGCACCACCATCAATTCTGACTGCCTACTGCCAGCGAGCATTTCCATTCTCAGAATCTCCCTCGTACCAAGCCGCGTCGTGCTTCCCCAAGCCTAGCCCCGCATCTCACCCCGCATTGGGGAACCACACATGGCTTCTCCACTTCCGCAACGTTCGCAGATCGGCAATCCGGCTAATACTCTACACCCTGCCACCGACGTCGATATGCAGCCTTTCTGTGTCACTCACTCTTCAGGCGTCCTGCGTATAGAAGCGAGTAATGGAGGATTTATGGAAGTTGGAGAAGCACCTAGGCCTAGACGATGGACACGAGTAATGAGCGCAGGAAGGCGCATGGCGTACATACATACCGGATATACGCCTTTCTATCGAGAATGCATAACAGACGATACTATCTGACTTTTGAGTTCGGATAAACTATCGTGAAGCCATCCGCTACTGTTGCCCTCGCTCCTTGATATCTTTCTGCAATGGCAACGCCAGGTCTTCAACGCTCGGTAACCGACGAGAAACACGAACAAGTACAGCGCGAATACCTTGCGCAAGATGAAGACCCAGAGATCATCGAGAACAAGAAGAAAGAAGATGCATTACGACGGAAGCTGGATTGCTTCGTTGCGCCAGTCATGATGATGTTGATGCTCATCAGCTATCTGGATCGCGGTAACATTGGATTTGCTGCAACGCAGGGTATGACGACGGACATTGGACTGAAGGGGAGCGAGCTGAACGTGCGTCACGGCCCCAGTAAATGTCCTGAAAATGGTCAGACTAACGAGAATATAGACGGCTGTATCGGTATTCTACATCTTCTACATTCTCGCCGAAGTACGTGCATTCGCCTGCTGAGACTCTGTATATCTGACAGCCAACAGTTTCCGACCTCGCTACTTGTCAAACGTCTTCAATTCAACAGAGTGATACCAACGATCACTTTCTGCTGGGGCATTACCTGTCTTTGCACAGGGTTTGTGCAGAACTTCGCTGGCCTGGTTACCACGCGGATCTTCCTTGGCTTCTTCGAAGGATGCCTCTTCCCGGCGATGACACTTTTCTTATGCAATTGGTATACAAGAGAAGAGCTGGGTATCCGCATCGCATATCTATTCATCGCCTCGGCGTTATCGGGAGCCTTTGGCGGCCTCATCGCATTCGGCATCCTGTACATGAACGGAGTTGCTGGGTGGTCGGGGTGGCGATGGTGAGATGCACCTTTCTCAATTTCGATGACTCTTAGACTAATGCGTTGTGCAGGCTTTATGTCATCGAGGGTATCATCACAATAATATGGGCAGCCTGTTGCATCTTCCTCGTCCCCAAATCCTTCGAAACCGCCTACTTCCTTAATGACGACGAGAAGGCTTTCATGCGCCAGCGCGCACATCGAACACAGGCCTACTCCGACTCTGAGGGCTCTGGTCATTATGGAAAAGCTGATATCAAAGAAGCAGCGAAGGACATCAAGAGCTGGGTGCATGGTGTGATTCAGATCGCCGTCGTGACGATTCTGTATGGTTTCGGAACCTTCTTACCCATTATCATCCGCAACGGGTTCAACTTCTCCACCAAACAGGTACTGCTAGCCACTTACAGCTTTTCGTACAGTACTGACATGCACAGGCGCAATATCTCGTCATTCCCGTCAACATCTGGGGCGCTATCGTCTATGCAATCGGCGCATACCTGTCTGATCGGTATCAAACGCGGTTCTTGCCACTGATCATGATGGCGCCCGTAGGCATAGCCGGCTACGCTATTCTCCTCTCTCCAGTCAGCCCATACGTCCAATACTTCGCCACATACCTCATCGCAACAGCATGCTTCCTCTGCACCGGTGGAAACATAACCTGGCTATCTGCCAACTGTGCACCCGATGGCAAGCGTGCCGCTTCTTTGGGTATTCTACTTACACTCACCAATATCGGTGGTGTGGTATCTGGCCAGATCTATCAGAGCAATGCGGCGCCGAAGTATGCTTTGGGCCATGCGTGGAGTTTGGGCTGTTTGGCTTTTGCATGGTGCGGATGGTGGATTGTTAGAGCGATGTATAGAAGAAGGGAGAAGAGGAAGGATGTCAAACTTGCCCAGGGATATACTATGCCTGTTGGAAAGCAACATACGGATCGCGAACCGGACTTTAGGTATCAGATATAGCTGTGCGGTCGTTCGAGCCACACACAGAGCCCACAAATGTCACATAAATGGACTTCGAGCTAAAGGATGTCGCGTGACTTTCAAGTTTCTGGTGTCAGTGCAAGGTGTAGCGTGATGCGCTTCAAGATCTCTGCGGATAGTGTAAATAATGCCACGGGGTAGCGTGATGTATCTCATGAGTTTCACGGAGCGCGCAGAGAATGTTCAGAAGCCTTGAAGTATACCAGGCTCCTATGTAACAACGACGTGTGACAGATCTTATAACTCCCGGGCAACTACATAGTGGCCCAGCTAGTTCAATTCCAGAAACTACGGTGCTAAACTATCTTCATAATGCTGCTCGACGAATTTGATGTGGTCCGCCTATTCCAGAACGATACGATGCTCGTTTAGGTCGCTCTCGTCGAACTGTTGCATGATTTCGCCTTTCATTACACCGTTGATGTAGCATTCGCCTACGAGTTTGTGCCGACCTTCTCTTGCTGGTGTGAGGAGGAAAGGAACGGCTGCCCCGACAATGATGCAGCACACATCGCCAACTTCGACCAGATCGCCCAGCGGAGCTATTCCAATACGCGCATCTCGAGTCAAAAATATACTCGCGTTGAAGAGAAGTCGAAGCCCAGTTCCTAACATTGCTGCATCATATCTATGGCGTGGCGACATCGCCACAGCCCCTGCATCACTCGGTCTTGCTACACTGATAATCTTTCTGTATGCATCAATCACGCTTTGCTGTCTCCTATCGGACATGGCGGAGAAGCCACTCCCGATTGCGTAACCTACCATTAGAGTTCGCAAAAAGTCGACTTGTCGCACTGTGATGCCAAATTGTGACGAGCTTTGCATCACATCATCCCATAGCGTATCGATGATTGATCCGTCTAGCCCGCTGGCAGATACATACGTGGGATTCAAGGTCGCTTGGTCCAGTTCTATTCTCTTTGATTTCCAGATGACGGTGTCGAAGGTGTATGCACAAACTGTCAAACAATTCTTGCCGTACTGGGTGGCTGTGAAGCGCTCTCTGCTGCCTCCAGCGTTGAACCAAATGCTGGGGCTCGTTAATGGTAAACGATATTTCCCAGCGACATGCCATTTCGGTACCCAAGATGGATGCATGCCGTTCATAAGTCTGTCTCTACTGTCGTGAGTGACAGCCGAAAGAACAAACGGCGCTTCTGCGGCATCCATCAGTACACAAGCGAGGCGAAGATTAAGGTCATCTATCGAAGATGTATAATCTGTCTCCACCAACGCGTGACCGAGACTATCAGTGGCAGCTGGGCAACCCAAGAATGCGTAAATATGGTCTCTATGATCACTTGCTTCAAGGTATCGGGCTGCCTGAAGGACAGACACAAACATGTCGTTTGAAGAGCGAGTGGCGAAGTAAGTCAAGCCAGTGCGGGATTGCTGCCATCGTTCTGGCCGGTGCGTATTGTAATGGAGGTAGATTGGTATGTTCCTCCCCATAAGATAGTTGATTTGCCCGACGACATTTCGAATGGTTTTACGGAAGTCCTGCTTTTGCGAAACCCACACACACATTTCCAATACATCAGCGATATCGATGCTGACCGAGCCCCAATACAAGCGGCATTCCTTAGCGATGGCGGCTTCCTGGACAGTCCATACTCGTCTGAACCAGGGAAATTCGAAGAGTTGCGCGACCCCTCGCCATCTTTCCTTTTCCATGCAGATAGGGTACGGTTTTGCGAAGGGTCTCATCTTGTAAAAGTTCTGGTCTGCCTGGAAGAATGAATCCGCCAAGTAGGTATTCGTCTCACACATGAGAGCAAATGCGTCTTCAGCGATATCCTGGTTATCGCGATCAAGCCACACAAGTGTACGTTTTGCATTGGTGTACACCTCGCCCATTCTCTCGACCTGATGTCCCTTCTCTCTATCGTCTTTCTGGTTAATGCACAAGGCATCCGCCCATAGTACTCGAGGCTTAGATGTGCGGCGGAAGTTTCGAAGAGCATCTGCGAGGCTGGCAGTGATTGGCACTCGCAGTCCATTACACCATATGTTGACAGTGTTTTTGGCATCACCCCAAACGTACGATATCGCTTCGTAGGTCGCTTTGGAGTCTTCTATGCCAACAATTTCGAGGCTGCATCTGATGTCTTGGTCGGTTTCGCCAGGTTGAAGCTTCAACACGCGTATGAATTCGCCCACTGGGAGTGCTTTGTAGATCAATTTGTCGGGTATGTCATCGCTTATTTCCAGTCGTTCGATCTCAGATGATGCGATTGTACATTCCGACATGGTTCAATAGTGTGCTGAAAGATCCAGCTCGCTCGTAGATATGTCGTGTAGATGAGAGAAGGTAAGCAGGGAAGAAAGGCTGAGACTACATGGAGGTGGGCAGCTGCAACCCATGCACATGCTGATAGGCGAGCCGTCCTGCGCGGATGTGGCCCCCAACACCCTCGCTAAGGTATCGATGGAAATCTGGCAGATCACTGTCGGCGCCAGAAAGCACGCCAAGTTGCTTCATGGAACGTCAACGGGCACTTACTTAAAGCGAACATATAGATATATTAGACCTCTAAAGACCACGTTGTGCCCCAGTAGTATCTAATGCCAAACAAAAGAAATACCCCCATACCATGTATATGCCTCCCAACCCAGCCGCGGAACCAACCAGTCCCACGACATCAGATGCCGCCTAACCCAAGGAAAAGTGGTATGCTGTGGTATCATCCATATGCGAGCCCTCAAAACGCCATATAACACCCTTCCAGTCCATCAGACGCACTGCTGATGGACCGTGTAGACCAATTGCTTACGGGCAGGTCAAACTCCTCGTCCTCTTGCTGTCGCCTAGCCCCAGCACTTCTCCCCTGACATGCTTGGGCACCTGAGCTTTCGCCCAGCACTGCATGGCTACTCTGCGCATGAGCTCCACCTCCTCATCGCGCAGCCTGAGTTGTCGCTTAGCCAGCTTGCTCTTCCTCAGCTTGACGCCCTTCTCCTGAACCGCTTGTCCGGATACCACAAAAGGCACCGTAGGATGTGTCAATCCACGCTTCGAGCCGGGGCGTTCGGTCGTAGGCGAAGAAACGAGGGACTCGAGGTTCACGCATTCAGCGATGAGGGCCTGGATACCAGCGGAGAGTTGTGTTGCGCGCGAGAGGATGTAGCCCCAAATCTCCGAGCCTTCCCAGAACGGGTCGTTTATGACTGCGTGTTGGAGCGCGGGGAGGATGTGGGGGAGGGGAGGCAGTGTTCTGTCTTCGATGTGCTTTGGCGGTTCTTCTTGCGTCGGCGTCGCGATGTTTGCTGTGCTAAGCAGACTTGCGGCAATGGTCAGGCGGATGTGGCTATCGGTGCTGAGGGTTGCTGTTACGACGCAGGCTGGGCAGCCCCGGGTGCGGCACCAGTCTGATTCTTCGGTTATGAAGCACTGCAGGCCGATAAATGCGCTGCGGGATTCGCCCGAGAAGGCGAGTTCGAGATCAGAGGCGCGTTGTGTGCATAGTGCGGCGGAGGCTAGTGTGGATGCGCGGGAGAAGAGGGTTACGACGGGCATGATGAGAGCGTGGAGGATATCGCGGTGGAGTATGTACGTCTGTTTCGCCTGGGAAGAACATTGCGTGTGTGTTGCGCAGAAGCTGGCATACTTGTTAGTGATTGAGGTTTGCCGTAGAGCTGGGGGTGGATAGGCATGTGGAGCTGGAGAGAAGCGATACGAAGCGCGATAAGCTGCTCGCGACGGGGGAAGAGGAACAGGAACATGAACATACTCAGCATCACCGGCCAGATGCCTCCTCAGCGCGCAAAAGGCTTTTGACTCGCCCAGCGCCTCTACATCCTCATGTGGGATCACAAAAGGGCTCTCCATCGGCACAGCGTATCCGTAGTCCATCGTATCTCTCTGTCGGCGTGGCTATCTCGCTTCGCATCGGTATGCAGTCGGGCTATCTCGAGTCGAAAGGCAGACGAGAACGAACAAGCTTCTTCGCACGACGAGGCTAAAAAGCAAATAAGAGGGGGAAGAGCAAAGCAAGCAAGATGCCAGGGAAAGAAGGCTTCGAGGGTATTATCATTATTCCCTGCAACGGACGGCCGTTCCCTATTTCACCCCCCAAATGACGCGAACGAGCCTCCCTCATGCCCAGGAGCTCCACCCGCTGCTGCGCTGCCGGGGTGGAGACTGCTGTAGATCTAGACTTGCATATTGCGCACCCCCCTTTCCTTATCCGCCCACGCTTGTGCAGAGCCCGTATCCCACGACTGCTTTATGTAGCCAACTAGCTCGCGCCAGATGGCATCACCACCGGCCGGGAAGTACTGCCTTTCGGATTCGGGCAGAAAACGCGGCGTGGGCGGTTAGTTCCCTGTTGCGCATCAACAGCTTGCTTTTCTCCGCACTTCAGCAGCATCAACAACGAAGAAGCGGTGGAGCATTTATTTTGCGACCTCGTTAATTTGAGGGAAGCGAAATGCCTCCTGTATCTCAGACAGCAGGTGTACCCGCGCCTACGTACTTCTCTCCCTTTCCCCTAAACCAATTTGCGAGCATGATCTTCAATGATGCAAGCGCAGCTACACCGACCCGACCGCGCAGAGGCCGATCAACCCGAACATCGCGATCGAAACGAAAACGACGTCGAGGGTAGAGCGGTCGGTTGACAAGGACGACCCCGCTGAAACACGTTTCGATAAAGAAAGTCGCTAGCCCAAGGGTTCGCGAGAGGCACTAGATATCGCGACATTGTTAACTGCCGCACTATTGGAAGCGCGTAGCGGCCGACATCACCACCTCAGCTGCGCCATCTCTCGACTTGCAGATGTCATGGACGCACCGCCTGTATCTCTGTGCGAATGGTTCTTACACCTGCACTGCGAACTATTCGGCCCTGCGTCGCTGGCGATATCGCTCGGTTTATGAAATATGGAGCCGAATTACGCGTATCGCTTGCTGGTACCGCGGCCGTGAACAGGGTGCGTCCCGTCAACATCGCAACATGCTACAATGACAGGACAGAAATGTTTGCGTGGAACGGAAGATTGGTGGTGAAATTTTCATGACGCTACAATGATTGATTCAGATACAGGCTGATACGGGCTGAGTGGGAATTGGCTGACGATGGCGTTTGCGCTACGGAGGACGGGCGCTCCCGTGATCGACGCTACAGCAGGATGCAGTCTCAACTTTCCTGCTTGAGATGCACTATCGTGGTGCAAACTATCAGTTTCGCTGTTGAGATGACGTTGCCCAGCCAGTACCACGGCTGATATCGACGCCTCTTCCCCCTTTCCGGTCTTCGTTCTTCCCCCACGCTCACCCACCAGTACAGTAGGAGACCCCTGGGACGTGCAGGCGCATCGGCTTGTAATCCGTCGATTTGGCTGCTAGTCAGGAACGACTGAAACGTGCAGTCGCGCTATCGATCAATTGTCTTGTAGCGCACGCCGGAGTGACAAGCGTTCGAGAATGATGCCATATTTAGTAGCATGACAGATTCGTCTTGTAAGAAACGACTGCAGCTAATGTAGACTTTGCGTCTATCGGACTTGGCTACCAGTGGACTTCAGATAACGGACAAGCTATGCATCGGCCTTTTGTGGTTTGTTGCACTTCGATATCGAGAACGGTAGCTCTGATGAACTCTAAGATTTGTTTGGCCAGACCGTGCCGCCGGTATCCTCTGGTCGATGATAAAACATTACAATATCAGCGAAGCCTTCTTCACCTAAACCAGAAAACTGAGTACGACCCATCGTTGCTAAGGATGCGTCGTTGGGTGCCGTCGGCAGTCTGCTTCCTCCCGAAAGGATCCGTAAGTAGCATTGTAAGCTTCTCTGAAATCGGGCCCATCTCTTGCTTCGACACAGGTATGGGTGGGCTCAACAGACTCGGATCAGGCTGCAGGATGGCAAAGATGCTGCTCTTTGATCGACCGATCATCCGACGATGGACATCTTGCAAGTGGTCGTATAGGGGCCAGAGTGTCTCCAGGTATCGCGCGGCGACGGGTTCGCATGGTTTACATGGCTCGAGCATATCCATGCACGACTTGGCGTACGTGAGATCAGCTTCGACTCCTTCAGTTTGACCGTCCATGAGTTTAGTCGTTGCGCTGAAGAGCAGGCAAATGGCAGCTGAGAATGCCCAGTAAATACTATGATCGTTAGTTCGTGGGGTGTTCGGGTTTTGTATACGAACTTACATGATCCAGCAACGCGTTGTCAGCGTACCGTCAAAAGAGATAAGGCTCAATATGCGAGCAATGTTCTGGGCAGCCATTGCACATTCCTGTCGGTATATCTTGACATCTTCGACTGAAATGTTATTCAACGCAGATGGAATTCCGTCGATAAGCTGGGCTTCTGCTGAAGCCACTAGTAGCTGGCGGTATAGCAGGACCAGTGCACCAAGATACATGATCTGAATCAGTCAATAAAATGATGATACAAGAAGATGGAAGGTCTCCTTACGTGCAACATAAAGACCGCTCGCCTTTGGAAGACTGTCAAGTCTTGTGCGGCACTAGACAGAAGCGTAGGGATCTGTAACGTTTGCGGAACTTCTTCACGCCACTTTTCCAGCTTCATTGTGAGCATGGTGATGTTCCCTTTGGTAGCTAGCTCTGGAGATGCCAGTGTCTTGGCAACCTCGGCGGCTATCAGGTTGATCTTGCTGGTTTGCATGTGTATGAGTTCATCGATGGACAGCTGATCTTGGCGATGGGCAATGCAGGCGACCTAGCCATGTTAGTATCATGAAAATCAATATAGGCTCGCCCTGGCATACCTGGATGTCACTGGCTGTCACCTCAGTGGGATAGCCGAGGGTGTAGGCAAGCCATGAATCCATGAATACGAGGCTACGGAATATCTTTCTCCAGTGGTCGTCCGTTGCTGAGCGAGACGAAGTTTGCAGAGCCGGATACTTCCAACGGGCGATCTGTAGTCCTGCAGCTGTGGCTTGTTAGTACAATCACATGATCAAGTGTACGAGTTGAACATACCGATAAGATACTTGGCGCTCATGTGCTTCTCGAGCAAAGAATAAAAGGACAAAGATAATAGCAAGCGCATTGTGCGGAAATAGTCTTGTCTGGCAGTCTGCTCGTTGAAATGAAGGGTCCCAGATGCGTAGAGCAATCGGCGCATCCGATCAGGGTAGGCATCGATGTCGTAATGCGCGCCCATAGCAGCAACTGTGAAGCATTCGGCAAGTGTCATGTCGTCCACCTTCTTTTGGGGCCGGTAGATACGGTCAAGTATCTCATTAACCTCATCATAAGTCCACATGA